TGTCATATGGAAACATATCACTATAGAAGCTTCTTAAGTATATGCATACACAACATTAAAAGAGTTTAAAGCCGGACATGGTGGTGCACGCCTGTAGTCCCAGCACTTGGGAGGCAGAGGCAGGCAGATCTCATAGGTACCATGTAATGGTGTAACAGTGCCCCAACCAGACAGCATGGCTGGCAAACAAAAAGCTCAATGCTAGGAATGGACTCCCTCTTTTGGAGCTGTTGATGAGGGGTCCCACAGACCTTCAAATAATACTGTACATTGCTCATGCTCTTGGTCACCCACTAGAACTTCATGGTAAGACCCTATTGCTCATGACAGCATATGTAAGTCATAGAACAAATAAGGAGAAATCAAACTGGTACTGACCTCAAAGCTTCAGATCTATTGGCTAGTTTTCATAGTTCTGGAAGGTGCTATGCATGCTATCAGAAGAGGAAAGTAATCATCAGCTTTGATAAACTGTCAATCTTGGGAGTTATAACATCTGAACTGACAAGATATGCTCACTGGTGCAATAGTGGCATGAGTGCTATGGGAGTAGCCAACCACTTTCTAATTGAATTTAAGATCCACTTTATAAGATGGAGCCCAGGATCAGGAACTGACCTGGAAGTCTTATACTGAAGTTTAACTCCCATAGTTCTGGAGGATATTATACAAGCTGCCAAGGGAAAAATCAATCAATGATCCAACTCAATCCTAAACCCTAGTAACCATAATGACCAGCAGAGAAAATTACCTCAACTGGTGTGGTAGTGAAACTGTTATCTGGGGGTTAATTAACAGCTATCTAATTGAACTTAAAGCCTTCTCATGAGCGTGAACTGGAACTCTCAGGTGGCACTGTAAACACAGCCAAATACACATGACTGGAGAGGTCACAGGTCCTAGAGAAAACCCTATCATTGTCATGTCTCTAGGCAAATGAAATTTCTTACCATGTGCCAAATATTAATTCTTATGTTTACACCAATCATCAAAGAAGCTTCTTTTCGTAACAGATAGAGGCTACTACAAAGTTCCATAGCTGGTTAGACATCTGGGTACAAATGCTTGACTGGTTAGGACTTAACATGTATAGTAGAATACATGAGGTCTGAAAAGGGGTGGCAGTAGAGGGGCATGGATTAAGGAGAGGGTCTAAATTTGATTAAGAACTGTTGTATGAAATGTACAAAAGCTCAATAAAAATTTTTTTAAACAATAAAAACAGATGAAGCCCATACCTGACCCTGATTTCAGGCCTAGAAATTTGTTGCTATACAGGTTACAGGCCACAGCAGACAACCAACCACTATCATCCTGCTAAATGGGCATGGTGTTAACCTGACTCCTCATCACTTATTATTATTATACCTATATATTAATGCATTTCTCAGTTCTTACCGGATATGCTTCCTCATGTAGTATATGGCAATTAACACTGAGATCTGAACCTGGTCAACACGCAGAGAATAAGACATTGTGGCACTGGGTATGGTGGCACATGCCTTTGATCCCAGCACTTGAGAGGCAGAGGCAGGAGGATCTCTGTGAGTTTGAGGCCAGCATGGTCTACATAGTGAGTTCCAGGCCAGCTGGGGCTACAGGGAGACCCTGTCTCAAAAAAAAAAAAAAATACACTATGGAGTGCTTATCCCTGAATGGGACATCTACATCACACCCTCACCTCTTAAGGCTCAGGGATCATTGCATAAGAGGAGGTAGAAAGATTATAAGAGCTAGAACCAGTGGATGACCACAAGGGATCAGTGTTTTCCGGACAACATAGCACTTAGTTACTCAGATGAACTCACAGAAATAATGACAATATGCACAAGACCTACGCTAGCTCAACCTAGGTTGGTCCTCAGACGCTTGGTATTGGTCTTTGATTAGAGACACAGGGAATAATTCCAATACAGTGGTAACCAAGAAAACGTGTGAATGTAGAACTACTACATCTGCCTGGGCTGGTGTCCAAGCTGCACTGTGCACTAGGTCTGGAAGCATGAGGGCCACACAGCCAGTGAGAAGCTAGGACACTCACCTGGCTCATCAGGTGCACAAACTTTATGATTTACCTTTTCCTACACACATTACCTAGTTCCTTCTTTTTTCCTTTATGTTCCTCCTGTCTTTTTCTCGTTTTTTTTAAACCAAGTAGCTAAAGACATATGAGAGAAGATACAGAATCTAATTGTTTCTTCTTTTCTCTAAATTTCTGCGAAGTCTTACTGAATATGTTCTATTCATTCAGTCCCATCTGAAAGTTAAGAAAATTGGTCTAGAATAAGAAAATAGAGAATTGGGCCTGTTAGCAATATACTCTGTTCCAAGGCCAAAAATGTCAAAAGCATTTGGGAGCTTGTGTCTAATCCTTAAAAGATTTTAGGGTTACCTTTTCAGAGAGGGGAATGTTGGAGGGGAGGGAGTGGGCGTGGATTTGATCAAAACACCTTATACACATGTATGAAATTCTCAACGCTTTTGTAAAAAAATAAAAAATAATAAAATTTTTAAAAAAATGTTGGGTGCAGGGATATGTGCCTGTAATCCTGGCACTGGGGATATGGAGAAAGGAGGATATCTGGGACTTGCTGGCCAGCCTGTCTAGTGAACTGGTGAGCTCAAGTTTCAGTGAGAAACCCCATCTCAAAAAAATAAGGTGAAGAGAGATAGAGGAAGATGCCCAGTATACCTCTGACCTCCTCGTATAAACAAGTCCACTAACCCACATGCATATGCACCCACACACATTAAGAATAAATAAAAATATTTTTAAAGAGCAGCATATTTTTAAGAATCTCCAAATAGGGAAAATTATAAAACATAATATTAAGCAATATTTTATTGAAGACAATTTGGGAAAGGCAAGTTATTTGTGAGAATGAGTTCTTTTTTTTTTTTTTAAGCAGATGGACAAGCACTGGAGAATGGCTGGGCATGCCGACAACACACAGAGTATATGGGGGGGAGACTATGGGAGGGTGCCATTTGGGAAGTGGGTGTATAGAGGAATAAGATTGTTTGGGATGTTCTGAAAGAAATACACACAAAAAAATCAACAAATTTTAAAAATGGGTTCTATTTGTGGAAGAAACATAAAAATTTGCTCCATGTTAATTAATAGAGGTGACACATTAGCATTGACATCTACCCAATGATTTTAAATCCACACTCAGGTGGATCTCAGAAAGTAACTGACTGTGACTAGTAATAATCAGATACATAGAGA